AAGACATGAAGTGATACTTGTTGAAGTTTGTGGAGACCACTTGCTAAATCTTCTAAGGAATACCTGTCAGCTCTTGTAAAGCAATGAACACGACAACGGGGAGTGGGGAATGTGCAACATGCCCCCCCCCCCCTCCCAGCCGAGCCATGTTGCATTTTCCGACAGTACGTTCCCGATTTAGACAACAAAAGCCATTCCCACACAAATCCCCTTTCTTTGCATTGCGTTGCCTGTTCTTGAATAAAATAATATCGATTACTCTTGGTTTTGCCTTTGTCCCACTTCCGCCCGGCTCGGTGTCCTCTTTTTTGACAGAACTATTTGATTTCCTCACGTTTTCCGAAATAATAGACTGTTGCTAGAAAGAACGATCTAGCAGGTTACCATCAAAGGTTTCCCGGCTGGTCCAGTTTGGTCTCTATTTGACATCAGGCTCAAGACCAACATATAGCCCTATTTCAAATATGTCAGGTGTTAGGACATGTCACGACGTCTCTTGAATCTCATGACCAGCGTATATCGTAGTTCTGTCATTCTAGGTTGGAGGAGGGCGTTTGGTACCGAGTGAATTTTGGTGATTGTTGATTTTTCCCGTTCAGGGGCCCTTGATACCCCTTGCCTATAGTGCCAGGGCAGTCGTGCGTTGAGGATCCCCAACGAGGGGGTCGTATTCAGCCGCTAAGAGATCGAGGGGTTGCATGTGCTTTTGAGGGGAAATGATTCGGTTGTTGCCATTTCTCGGTTTTTCCCTTTTCTTGCGCGTTGTATAGCACCTCCCTTCCGTCGAAGTCGGAGAGAATTTTCGGATAAACTCCGGACAAGTGAAGGAGTTGGACATTTAGGACGATGTAGGAGGGTAGGATGATGGAATAGAGCGGAGATCGTACCTAAGGAGGAATTCTTGGTAGGGCCGTATTCTGCGAACTTGTCCCCAGCGGTAGGAAGTGTTCTTGTTGGAGTACTGACCCTTCTAGCGTCCCATAACAGTTCCTGCTTGCTGCCATTGAGAATGAGGAAATTACCTCGCGGCATTTCTTTTCCGAGGTTGTTTGTTTTCTAAAGTATTCTACAGCATTTAATGCCAGGGAACTAGAATTCCCCTTAAACCTATGCGAATTGACTCCGGTTGGGAGCACCGCATTCCCTTAGCGCAACAGGAGATATCTCGCTCCTGTTCCCACAGAAGTGGAATGTGGAAGAATGGTTCCACTCTTTCCCACTGGGCTCTGGAAACCCTGGTGTCCGCCATCAGACTCGAATTTCTCGTCATAGATGTTGTCGTGAGATGTTATTGAGTGCCGGTTCGTACATTTTCGTTGGCACCCCCCCCCTTCAAGCCATTTCGAAAAGTGTTATCGGTTTAACGTTTTGGGAGAACGCCATCGTTATGAGAGTTTTGGAAGAAGCGCGAGCATAGCTCAGAACGCCCATACGCTAGATCGATCCCTATGCTTCCCCTTGCGCCCAAAACGCCAACGAAAAGTTGAACGCATCCTAGCAGGTTTTCGACTGCGGACCTTGCGGACCTATACTGGACAAGCGCCTGATATTATTTATTCGCTCTTATCTGGAAACACTGGGAAGTTTTCGAACAAAATGGGTCTATTGTTTATTGTACAAGACCTAATTGATTATGATTAAAGGACCGAGCCTGGAAGGCAGCCAAAGGAATCAACGACGACCAATCCAATGAGGGTCCTTACCATATGATGCCCATCAAGGTATGTGACAGGTTGATTTTTCTTTTTACAATTCAGTTCATCGCCACAGTTAGCACGCAAGTTAGTTAGGAGGGGCATTGAAGATCAGGGCGCGTCGTGCGTTGGGTATCTCGGCGAGGGGGCGTACTTGAGTGATGGGGGAGAGGGAGAACTCGTATCTGCCTTATAGAAAAACCTTCCGTTGCTAACTTTTCTGTTTGCTCCTGTTTCAAGTGCGCTATTTAACCCCATTTACCCCCACCTCCGTCCGTCGAAGGTGGAAGGGTCGTACCCAGAGGAGGGAATCCTGAGAGGAGGGGTCGTATATTGCAAAATCGTGCCCCCTCCCAGCGCTGGGACTTGCCCTATTGAATGTTTTGATTGATCGTATGGAGACGAGGTTTTTTGTTGTCCATCCTAGAAAGGGATTTCACACCATTGCAATACCAAATTTGCTCAGAGAGTCCTTCAATTGTCCCCTCCCTAGCGCACTTTACCCCACGTCTCCGTAGTTGCAACTAATAGTTGTGAAATAGTGTTAGCACAAGCAAAATTGTTCATTAATATTTATTTATGAGTGGTTGTTGGTGCAGCAGTAGTAGTGGTTGTTTTTGGTACATCTCCATTCTTCAGAACAATGATAAGCACAGCACCAGCCACCATTCCTGCCCAAAGTACCCAGAACAGTACTATTGCAGTAATCCTGAATGAAATTTGTACAATTTCTAGTTCAGTAATCGTAGTTGGGCGCAGCTCGGCTTGGAGGGGGAAATGTAAAATGCCCTTCCCAAGTCGAAAAGCGCGCGTAATAGTATTGCAAACCTCCATGTTTTCCAAAATTTCGTTTCCCGTGCTATTTTTAACTGTTAGCCGTTAATCCAATGACCAGTTTTTCACGTGAATCATCACAGCTGCTCTGAAAAGAGGATGAGTCATAGTTTAACCATTTTGAAACGCGATATAGCAATAAAAGCAGCAAAGCACATTCGGATCTGCTCTTATCGAGGCGAATGGTGTCATTGAAAGGGAAAAATGGCAAATGTGTCGTTGACATACCTTGTCATTGGAGCTGCTCGTTGTACTGTGATCCTTGCCCATGCTATTTGATGACGTCTTGTAGAGGAAAACCCTGACGTTCCAGTTTGGTACAATGAGAACAGCGCGAATATTCACACATCTGTTAGTTGGACAGAGGTCTCAGCACGGATTGAAAAGGCTTTCAGTGAAGCTTCCACTATAGAAAAGGTCCCATCCTCCCCTTTCGTTGGGCAACCAGTGTTCTCTTTAGTGCGACGACCCCCTCCTCCACCCTATTTTCCTGGAATCCCCCGAAGTCCTACCCCTTTCTTCCAAAGGAACCGAGCGGGAAGGGGGTCGCCATCAGTATTATAATAAACTCAGCTATCAAAGATAGTGGTTTTATACGACACGCTGTGTTTCTAATGAGGTGGGGGGAGGAGGGAGATGAAACAAAGAAAATCTATTTCAAGTTAGTTCCTCTCTGGGCAGTCCCCCCCCCTCCGCTGCGGATTCCCCAGCCTACGACGTGCCTTTTGAGGACGTGAGGTTCTAGCGAAGTGAGGTTCTGCCGACGTGAGGTTCTGGCAAAATGTTGCCCTTCCTTCAAAATTACCTTCTGTAGTACTACCTGCCTAGCTACCACTCTACTTACCGTCTACCTAAATTTTTCCCAACCTTCTGCAACCCAGGGTGAAACGAGAAAGAACGAAGCGATACCGAGGAAAAACAACAGTCCAGTACATTTTCTTCATAAGACTTTCATCGCTGGAGACCCCATCGTACCACGCACCCTGGCCCCAGCTAGGGTCCACGACGGTGAGGGATAAATTCGAGGCTAATGGCTAACAGATGTCAGGCTGGTTAAGTGATTGAGCGAGAAAAGCACCGCACTAAAAAGTTGAAATAACGAGTTCCCATTCGCTCTAGCATCTTGCAAAAGCTAATATAAAGCGCTAGGGTGTAGTTAATGAGATGTGGGAAATGTGAACGCCAGTCACCATTTTTGCTTCACAGGAGGCCTCCAATGTCGCTGCAATTATTTCTACGCTTCATATTCGCAAGACACGGTAGAGTGGTTGCACTCATTAACTTTGGATGAGGTAGATATTCGTGGAACGTTCTACTTTGGGACAACTGACACTCTCATGTTGAGCAAAGACATGATTACGTTTGTCCCAAGATCAAAACATTTCATCAAGAGCGCAGTAGCCGCCACCTATAGAGGAAATGTGCAGCCACGCCTACCGCATCTCAGGGTATGGAGCGTATACCTCGTGAAACAGCTTCTACTAAAAACGAAAAACCTTTGCCTATGTTGGCGTTACGATTCAAAAGACATTCTTGCCGTATAGTGATAAGAAGGGGCATGAGCGTCCATCGATTCACATTCTCTGGTTTTTAATTGGCGCATTCAATGATCGTTATCTCATCGTTGGGCCCCATCGGGGTTTCACTGTATAGCGCCATAAACATGCACGCTGCAGTGTTTATGCAGCAGACGTAAAATAAATCAGGATTGGGGCAAATGGCTCTAAATTCACGGCGGAACAGGCCAAAGGCCATTAAGTCAGGTGGAGAGCGCTAGAATATAAGTATAAGTATAATATAGTGTTAAGCTCAGAACGGGGTTCCGCCCACCGTACGGTTGCGCTTGGCCTTGGAAGAATTATTGATTATGAAGAATTGGCGATTAATGATTGAATGCAGAAGGATTAAAGGAAGAACGTTTAATTGTAAGTGCCCTCAAAATAGGAAAAACGGAGAAAAGTTAGCAACCGAAAGCATACTTCATAGAGCAAATACGACCCCTTCCCTTTAGCAATCAAGAATTACCCCAGTCCTCGCTTTGAGATTTCTTTGACTAAAATGCGCAATGAACAATCAAGCCAAGATAAGTTCTTTCAGGTCTTGAGCGCCAAAACTCAAGTCGTTGCTGGAGTCAAACACGTTTTTGAAGTGCTGTTCGGAGAGTCATCTTGCAAGAAAGGAGTAAGTCCTTTTCCTTCTGCTTTCAGCGTTTAAATTGTCCTTCAGTAAGGATCCAAAGATTGAAAAATTACAAAAGCCGCGCTTCTCGTGTTTTTTCCAACAATCAGAGAAGGTATATGTTTGGGTTACTCGATTAAGAAGAATGGCCTTTTAGAAATTGTTTAAAGCGAAGTACCTTTATAAAACTTTTCTACTGTGAAGTTGGGGTATGATTTGTGAAATGATCCTTCATTGTTCGATTCTTTTTAGGATTTCCTAGCAGCCGAGCTGACTTCAGCAAATTGTCAAGCAAAGGAAAATGGAAGACGAGTCGTAAGTGTTTCGAGATTTTGGCGCTGCTCGGTTGGAGAGGGCATTTTGCTCTTTCGCCATTTCCCTGGGGAGACGGTAAAGAGGATCGTAATTCGCCGCACCGCCACGCGCGGCGATGGGCGCGGCGTTTTCATAACTCGTTTTAACCTGTCGAATGGAGCACCGGACTTCATGTAGACCCCGTCATCGTAGACAGTCATTACTGCTTTTCGGTCCTTAATTGCATTTTGTCGCCATCTACTACCTGGAACCATCGTCCTTTGCAGACTAGACGTCGCACGCGACAGCGCGGCGAATTACGATCCTCTTGTCACATACCCATTTCCCTGTTGGTTAGTTATGTTGAATGACAAGTCTCCGTGGGTGAGACCTGCAAAGACTTGTAAAACTGCAAGTGAGCCACTTTGGTGACAGGAATTTGCAGGTCTGTGGGGAAGCTTCGCTGGGTGCTATTCGCTCCAAAAAGCCAAGCTGCTCCAACATTTTTGAATGTTTTTTTGCGCAATTATCGAAAAACACGCGTTTTAATCCATTATTTCTTAGATTTACGAAGTCACTCTCTGGGAGAAGCCATGGGAAAACTTTGAGCAATTCAACGTGAAGAAAGTGAGAACCCTTGCTGCAGGAGAGCAGGTCTAAAAAATGCATTTGTCCGAGTCTTCGCCAGTATTGTATATTTTGTATTCCACGTCCACTTCGCATTTGATTTCCTATTGAATTTTTTCTCTGTAACGACAACGGCCTTTTGTGTAAGTGCTCAGTGTCAATTGAAACGTTTCACAATGTGATTATGCACTAACTTTCTAGTAATAAAGCAATAATAGCTATTGTGGGTTTTTTCTGTTAAGCACAAAATCCGACTGCACAGTGATCGCTCAATAACGAACCTATGGTCGCCAAGTTTCTCTCCAGGGAAGAAAAAGCATGGAAAAAGTCAAGGGGGACACCCCAGGAATACCATGGTAACCCTCTGAGCGAGATGGGCGGACAAGGTTCAGCATCGTGATGGGTGAAATGGTGTTGTAGCCCCCTCGAGGGAGGGTGTCAGTGTGATCCCCCACCTACGTAAGGGTCTCGGTACGACTTCCCGCCCCCCCCCCCCCAACTTCCCCAGCACCTACCCACCTTTTTCCCCACATTTTCCAGTTTTTCACCCAAAAACCTTGCTATCGAGCGACGGGGAGTGGAGGGGGTGTACAGCCGTATAACCAATGTGAAACGGGAAAATCTATTAAAGTTTCCCCAACTCCCTACTATTTCCGGGACTCCAGAACAAAAGTTCCCTACTTTACCCCAAAAATTTTGCTCTCAAGCGGGTGGTGGTCAGGGGGGGGGGGCTGGGGTATATGGTACACATGGAACAGGAAAAAATTACGCGAAAGGTCAACGACCGGCAGAAATTTCTATCCCAACGCAGCTGTTTTCTCTCGAAGGCACATATACAACCCACCCCCTCTCCGAACGAGCAAATATGACACCACTCCCCAGCGGGGAAGTACCCCCCTTCACCCTATGTGTTTCACACAACGATGCTGTACCCTGTGTGCGGACGCTTTTCACGCCAGTAAGACGATCTCTGCCGCCTGTAGCTCTTTTAATGGTGCCAAAGAGAGGACCAGCCAAAAATGTGGAACGCGCATATGTAGACCTGATCACTGGTTGTTTGTCCAGCTGTACACTCCTTATCCCTGGGCCAGAGTAGGCGTGACTTTCGAACATGGCACAAAATTGGTCACACGTAAATATATTCCAGTCTGGGACAACTGTCATCTTGTTCTGTGTTGGACAGAGACACGACAACAGTTGTGTCAAGATGGAAATATTCCACCAGAAGCATAGACACCTTCAGGTTAAGTTGAAGAATGCGGCCACGCCTACCCGATCTCAGGGATTTCGAGTACACTATGTACTGTTTGCTGACAGTGTGGTGGCAGCGGTAAACAAAAACAACAAGTAGTCAAAACATGCAACTGGTAGTAAATGCTGTGTTTGTTCATGTCGCTACCTGCTGGCAAAACAACTAGTAACACCGTATCTCAATTATTATAGGCAGAAATTTGTACTGCGCTGACAATGGGCTAACGCGTCGGTGGCAAAATGGGCCATCGGACGATCCTAGCGGACGCAAAGGCAAGATGGCCTTTGTCTCAGGTGGCGTTCTCTTGTCCTCACTGAGCCAAAACGGCGTTGTACGGCTGGGAGGATTTTGCACTTTAGCTAGTATACTTTAACTAACTCTTGTGAAGTTGCGAATTGATATAAGGGAGCCATTTTGGGTATTCAAACTTGCAGGGCTCTACATGTAACATGAGAGGCTCCGCTGACTGCCATGTGTTGCCCCATTAAGTCCAACAGCGCCATCAGAACTACTGATTTCAGAACTTCGAGACATGACTTGAACAGTGTAAAAGTGTTCCTTCTCCAAATACGGTACTCGTGGCAATCTCGATAGTAGCGGTTCTTGCCTCAGGTAGCTGGGTTCCTTAAACAATATTGGTACGAAACTCCCACAGTAGTCGGTGGCGTGCTTACATACTTCATCTTTGATTTGGCGGCTGCTGTGTTTTGTAGGACGCCGGTGGGCCATGTCCATCAACTTGATATGTCGCTCAAATAGCGATCCCTAGGCCATGTTCACGTAAGATCCGCAGCCACGCCTACCAGGTCTCATGGATGTGGTGTGCAGGTCACGCACTTCTCTGCAAGCTGCCAAAGGCGTGCAAGCACGCACGGTGGGATCTCACATATTTCGTCAATAGGCCCACGCCGGCCCTATGTACTGGTGACTGTCGTTTCGCTTATCATTCTGTTATCCCACTCTTTAACTCTTGTTTCTCGCCTCGCGTTGATTTCTCTCCACCTCCCTCTTTCCGTCCAATCACTTCCAAGCTCCAATCAATTCCGCCTTCAGCTGCTACTAACAATAAGAGGCCTTATTTATTGCTTTGCGACAGCTTTTTCCAGTTTTCTGCCCTCATAGTCGCTTGGCAGTTTACGCAGCTTCGCGAAAGCAAACTAGTTCAACTCAATTATAGGGGCAGTTCCATGAGGCTGGAAGATAGTGATACCCCACTGTCGTTTGGGACACCGCCTGCGCTATTCTTGGAGGGCAGCTTTCGTGTCGGCTTAAAACATCGACTCGCACTAAACTCGGAACTACTAAAACACATTCAGAGGTGGAGAACAGCCGGATGGAGCAGACAAATAGCGCGTGTGGCTGGCAGTGCGGGACGGCGGGGTTCAGAAACGGCACACGTGTGTAGTTACCCTCCTGCCTGGTTTCCATGCACTTTTGAGCGGAGAAAGTGGCACGCATACGATTTGCGACCCCGAAGTGTACCGTCGTGTACCCCAGATGTGGAGAACTTGAAATCGTAAACCTTAATAACTGAAAGTCCACGATTTCCAGTGTGCCATGCGTGGAACTCATAACCAAATCGGAACAACGCAGGGACATGACAAGGGGGTCCCTTCTCAATAATACTGTGCTTGACTGTGGCAGGCGGAGCATCGCAACTCGAAAGCGATAGGGGATCTTGTCTTTCGGGAACCATGAAGAGAAACTTACCCGCTCTACCCGTTATTCCCGTATGGAATTGTCTTGATAACGTTACTGTGAAAATAAGTGAATTTTTATTCAATAATAGCGATCTTGAACATTTTGGCAGTCTTATTTCATTTCTACGAGAGAGAGTATACAATTAAAAGTGTGCAACCGAGTATGAGCTTCTCAATGAGTAGGGGTGTCCAGTGGTAAGACGTCCTCCACTTTGACTGCACCGAGCTGTCCTGCTGTGGAAGTGATCTTGTAGATCTGAAAGAAAATGGGTAGGAAATAAAGATGAATTGTAGGAAATGTTGAGCACAAACTATCCGCGATAGCCCAGTGAATAGTTCTCAGGTCTGAGAGAAAAGGAAAATGAGGCCTGAAGGAGCTGTTATTAAAGGCAGTTGGCACGATAAATCCCCCAAGACTAGTAGGATTAATGCCTTTTCCGAAAGAGGTGCCCTATAAGGGCCCTATCAAGCCACAACATACCGACCCAAACGCCCGCCCGCCCGCCCACAAATGGACGACCGTTCCTGACGCTCTAATCGATTCATTTGCTAAGCAAATTATGAAGCGAAGGGATTGGTATGAAGCGGCCGTGATGCTGCATGGATATATGAGTACACATATGCAGCCGTACCTTCGGTAGCGGTTATTGGCAAGATGCCTACGGGAAACTCGTCCAAAATTGATTTCTAACACATTGAGAACGGAGGCTCTTTCTTCGCAGGATTTTGACCGTTTCACTCCGTTCTTTCGCCATTTCCCCACTATATAGCGCCCTACTAGCATTTTAGGCCGAGCACCAAATCATCGTGCCAACTGCCTTTAAGGAGGAAGCCGACAAAAGGCGGCTTGAGCGG